TATTGATTTTGGAGTTTGTCTCCGGTGGGACTATAATCATATTATTCATGACTTCCCATTCATAACATGAAAATATGTCCATAGAAATCCCATTCCAAAGCTGTTCTGTTGAATTCAACAAGTTTCAATTTGGACTGACATCAAATGATGGGAAGAAGTTTTGGGGACAAAAACAGCCTGAAGAGAATTCTGTGAAATATTGTGATGCCTACTACAGGGCTTTTATGTCGTCTTTCTCCCCACTAAACTGGGACAAGTAGCTGATGCACTGGATGGCTCCTATTTGGAGGGACCTCAGCTGGCTTGGAGAAGCAGACAGGCAGGAACCTCATGAAGCTCAATGAAGGGAAGGGCAGAGTCCAGCAGCTAGGGAGAACTAACCCCGTGTCCCAGTACAGGCTGGGGCTGACCTCTTGGAGAGTAGTTCTGTAGAGCAGGACTTGGTGGGCCCTGATGAACAAGGTGACCATGAGTGAGCAATGTCCCTCGCAGCAAAGCCCACAATACCCGGGGCTGCATGAGAAGAGTGTTGCCAGCAGATCAAGAGAAGTGTTCTTTGACCTCTACCCAGGGAATTCCACAATACGTCTTTATAAATTGTTTTAAAGCAAAGAAAATTCAATTAAAAAATTGGTCTTAATTTCTTGTTTTAAAACACGTACTAATAATTTTGCAGTACTGTGAAAGTGCGGAGGAAGAAGATCATTAGAGTAGGATAGGTTAGGACAGGACAGAACATAATAGTGAAAAGTAGAATAGGAAAATAACAGAATAGTCAAAATATAACAATAATTTGGACTGCAATGTATAATATTAGTTTGCCTTTCATATCTTGGTCAGATCCTGAAGCTTTTTATGTTGTTGGTGCCAGCTGTCCTTTTGCATTGTATAAATTTTGCAAGCATGTATGACCAGCAGTACTATGTTAAAATCTGATTTAGATCTATGGTCACCTAAAGTATTTTCTGTCACAAACACCTGTCTTCAATCTCGAACTGAAGTGCTAATGAATATAACAAATATTTACTTTCCTTCAGCATAGCATTATTGTATGGAAAAAAAAAAGAAAGGAAAAAAAAGAGAGAGAGACTGGGGTATTTATATATGACCAGCAGTACTATGTTAAAATCTAATTTAGACCTAAAGTATTTTCTGTCATAAACACATGTTCAGGAGTGTCCTAATAATTCACTTCAGTCACAAACTGAAGTGCTAATGAATATAACAAATATTTACTTTCCTTCAGCATAGCATTATTGTATGGAAAAAAAAAAGAAAGGAAAAAAAAGAGAGAGAGACTGGGGTATTTATACTGTGTCTTAGACGTGCTGAAAAATTATGCAGTGTTCCCCGATGGCAGGGTGCCCTACAAGTGTGTAACAATAGGAAGGTTCAAATTCTTTGTGTCAAGGAGTTAATAAATAACTAAACTACTTGCCTGGGACCCAGCAACAAAGCAATTTGTTCTTGTCATCTGGAAGTGGTTAAATTATGAAAAATTGTCCTCTATAGATTTAACTGATCCGTGAATCTAATTTGTGAACTGTACAGCGTTCAGTGTGGTGCAGCTCTGTGTAGCTCATGCTTTCTATATTAGGAGCAGTGAAATATGACCAATGTCACTTTTTGTTAATGGATTATATAGGTAATACCTCCAGGCAGGATAATGGACTACAAGACATGAATAGCCTAAAAAGCATCTAATTTATTTTTGGTAGTTTGTTTTAATTAACTTCTAAATGTGTCTCGTTTCTGAATTATACTTCTTTAATAGGTTGTTTCAAAAATATTGTTTAGTCCAGTAGAATTAGGGAATGGTGCTAGGTTTGAACAATTAAAATATACTAAAATCTAAAATAAAAGAGCAAATATAATTGTGAGAACACAGAACCCCATATTTCAAGAAGAAAAATGGAATTGAGTGCACAGAGGATAATGTTAAAAGTCCTATGCATTAAATGGTCCTATGACCAGAAGTACTGTTAGGTAAAATTGAGAAGTTTAAATGGGCTGGGGGGGAAATAACCTGATACACTGATGAAAGGCAGTGCAAGAGAAGACTGACTAGAATTGTGTTCATATGGAAATATTCTTTTTTAAATAAAATTGCTATAGGAAAAAAATATATATGTTATATCCAGACAAATATGTCTGTGTTGCACTTTCCTGGACTGATTTTCCTCCATTTTCCTCCAGAAAAAGCTTTGGGGCAAAGACTTGTAGGGGATCAGCTCTGGGAGGTGTGGCAAGAGGGATCTTCCCATTTTTTTGTCTTCTGAAGCTCTTTTCTTTTAATAAGACAAAATCTTGTGATAAAAGCATTTTTTTTTTTTTTTTCGCTAGCACTTGCAGTTAGTATTACTTCTGGCTGGATCCTAAGCATTTTAACTGTTGCTTGTCAATCATCATCATCATTATTTTTGGATGGAACAGTTTGTTTACAGTACCGTTGTTTCCATACACCACCATGTAAAGAGGATGCAAGTGAATCAAGAATTAGCTTTGGCATCAAATGAGGAAAGGAATTTCCTGCTTTGTGCTCAGCACACCATGGACTCTGGTTTAGATATTCAGAGACTGGTAAAAGCAGTTGCACGGGGTAAAGATAATGAGAATAGCTAAGTGCAGTAATGAACATCAACTTCAGTAAGGGTCTGTTTCTGTTAAACTTTTGAAGAGAAAACATGAAGGAATGCAGATTTATCTGAATATATGTACAAAATATTGGTGTGCTCTTTATGCATTACATCTGAACTAACAGAATTCCTTTCTTTCTTTTACAGAATAACGATATAATCTATTACAATGCAAAAGATGATCAGAACGATGTAAGTAATAACTTTATTTTTGCTTCATTGCTTAAATTACAACAAAATATAAAGGGATTGAAAAGTTTAATCAAACTCTAAGACCATCACTCAGATATTTCACAGAAGGAAGAAAGTAAGAAAATTATTTTAAAAAATCCTAGAGAAACAGATTATATTTTATATTTTAATTCTAAAGGTCTGCTTTCCCTCATTTAGTTTTCAAAGCTACAGATCAAGGGAAGTGTTAGGAGGAAAAATAAGGTGGTCCAGCCGAAGTATCTTTCGTTTCTTGAAATGTGATAAAATCATAATTATAGGACTGGAGAATCAAAATGATAAATGTAAGGAGTTTACTGTACTCTGAAGAAACACTTTTCTGGCTCCCTTTTCTAAGCTCATATTTCCCAGCCCTGCATTTGCTGTAAGAATTCTTTTACTTGAGTGAAAAGCAGGCATAAAATGTAGCTGGATAACTGTTTTCATCCACTTTGTTATCATTCATTAATATAATAAGATTTGGGGGAATGGAAATTCACTCTTTTAAAGTTTTACAATTGTGTGGTAATTTAATCCCAAATTCTAATAAAACTCTGGCTTCATGTGGTTTGAATTCTACTATTCTGGCATTAACTACTAAGAATCTTAATTTCTTTTGGGAAAGAAACAAGTTATCATCGCTGTCACTTGAGATAATGCAACTGCTTGTCTTCATTATAGATTTAATTTATAAAGTCATTGAAAAGATATTGTAAATGTCTTAATCAGAAGTATCAACATACTTCATTTGCACTTTTTAATGAAATATTCTGTAAAGATTGATGTCATCAATATTATAATTGATGCTTCTGCTGTAAAGCAATTAAAGAAGATGCATAGATCGCGACAAGATCACGTCACAGATCACAGCATAGATCACGCTGACATGTTTATACAGAACTAAGAGCACTGGAACTCAAGTACAAGAAGCAAAACTACTATCTGAATTTTTAAAGCTTGTGTGCTTTAAGTAACATTAACTAAGAATGACTTAATTTTAAAGCTATTCTTTTCATTCAATTGATAGGATTTTCAGAATTTTTGTAGTAACATGCCAGTCACTTCTGAGAACAACATGGGCTTTGTTTACCAAGCTCAAGCATTATATTCCAAGGCTAAATATATCATAAAGCCATATATAAAAGTCAAATATTATTTGGGAATATTTGTAACTGAATTAAAAGTTTTAAATCCAATACTTTTTCTGTCATAAATAGTATCAAATGAATTTTTTAAGAACACGTCGTGGTGTTATTTGAACCTACTTAATGGTTTCTAGCCTTATATAGTTGTTTGTTTGCACTCTTCACTTGTCCAATTGAGAAACAAGAAAAAGTCAGTTTGCAAAGGTGAATAGCAGTAACCAACGTCTAGTACAATTGCATGCTATAGAAATCTGTTCTGTAAACACTTTTTGTAATATAAAAATATAGGATTGAGGCTTGGTTCTGTGGGCTGCAAGTGTGCTGATAGGACTATATGCGTTGGGATAAGCAATTACATTTCTTTCTTTCATAATAGTCCAAAGAAAAAGGTTAAAGAGGGGGAAGGCAGAGGGAATGCTTTCTGTTGGTGAACCTTTTTCCTTTTATTCTACTTACTTCTTTCCAGGGTTAGATAACTGTGTAAATGGAAGGGATTTCACGAAAGTGTAAGATTCTGAAGTCTCTGGTTGCTTGGAAATGCTTTGTGTCTGCCATTTGAGCTTTCTTGTTGTTGTTCTTAATATGATCAAAAGGTTTTGGGGTGCATTGCAAGCAAATGTTTTGACTTAGATGCCAGTGGGTCTCCCAGGAGTTCTAATTAGACCATGGTGTCTCTGCCAGTGACACCTTACAAGTTTAGCACATCTGCCAAAGTGTAGATAGATCATCCTAGATATAAATTCATCTACTTCTGTTTCTTGCTATTAAGTAAAGGTGAAAATTCATAATAATGCTAAACTTTATCCTCCTTAATCTGTAATACAAATGCTAAGTGTAAACTAAAATTCTTATGCTGCTGTTAATAAGTAGTATAACAAGTTAATAAGTAGTATAACATGAACAATTAGGTTAGAGATGTTATTATATATGTAGATTTATATCTCTTTAAAAGGCCCAATATTTTAAGAATCACTAATGTGCACCTTCTAAAAAGGCTCCATCGTCTTGCATTTTTCACTTTATATTTTTTAATGCAAATATTTCTTTAAAAGTCTAAAATGTAGTAACTATTTTCCTTCATCAGTGAAGCTAAAGTTATCAGTTAAGTGTAAAAAATGAATCCAAGAACACCTTGTATTTTAACTACAGCACTTCTTTGGGAATGGAAAGATGTGGGGATACTTACTGCTGATTGAGAAGACTGACAGTCAAGTCTAAAAACTGCAGACTCTTTGTCCCTGTTTGTGCCTGAACCCAACAGTCCATTCTTCAGTTCCATATCTCTAAAATAAGATTGTGTAATTACACAGCGTGGCTTTTGGCAGCTATTCTTGCTTTGTCATAAACCATAACACAGATGCTTACAGTGAAGAATACAAATTCATGGGAAGACAGAAGAAATCCCATTTTAAAACTGTGTCTCAAAGAAACAAAGGATTGTGCTCACATGGATCTGTGATTTAATTTATATTCTTGATTTTACTTGCATTCCTCTTCTGGACCTGACTTAGGCCACTTTATTGTGGGAACTTTTGTTTTCTTCTGTTCACTTCCTCAGTTCTTATACCTGTAGAGGAACTCTGCTTGAAGCATGGATGAGAACTGTTTACTCCAGTTGTTTTGTTTCATTGATTTACTGATCACAGTAAATGTTATTTTGTAGAAACAGAATGTTCAACTTGCCTAGACTTTTATTTACTCTATTTCTACATGATTTTTCAAAGATTTTACATCTCTACATTTTTTTTTTCTGTAAGCTGAATGAGAAACAATTTCCCATTTACAAGGTTTAATATTGATGTGCCTTTTATACACCTGCCTTTCCTTAAAAGGAATCCTATGTAGATTGCCTAGTTATATTTGCAATTTCTTCTATATCTTATATGTCAAATTGAAAATTGTCACCTATTATCATTAAACTTGGTATGAATCTTCACTTGCCCCTCCAATCCCTTACATATTAAAAAAAAAAAAAAAAAAATATAGAGCTTGGAAACATTA